CCCCCCCCCGATGGATGTTAGTGCCAGCAGTAGTTAATTGGCATGACTGGGGAATACTGTTTTTTTAGCCAGTCAATGTCAGCATCCTATGTTAATCCTGATCCCGGAGTGTCGGTATCCAGCAGATTCTCTATGGTCTTGGTCTCTGATGAACCACACCTGATCTTAAGCAGATAGTATCTCATCAGGTGGAACAGAAAACCTGCTCAAAGATACCAGCACTCCGGGATCTCACAAATACTGTGCTCTAATGTTAATTCCACTAACATATTTTTACCATGGAGTCCTTGTAGTCTGGAAAGATGGGAAAGAGAAGCAGGAAATTCAAAATGGATATATGAAGGTGGAATAGTTGCCTGGGATAACAGGATACTGGAGGGAAGAGGCAGCAACAAGTGCTAGGAACAGTGTTGGCCTCACCGGAAGGCTGAGTGCGTGGCTTTTCTCAGTAGGGGTGTTCAGAGATGATGTGTGGCACAGAGACAGCCTGGGAATCTTTCCCATCGTCACTGGAAGATGGGAATCCTGACCGGGACAAGTTATCAAAGTACACTTTACCCACTGTGGTGCATTTGCAATGATGGTGTAATTCACAGGTGGATCATACTACAAACTTAGGGTGAGAGAAGAAGGGCTTTGCAACCCATAGTAGTCGGGATTACTGTGATTAACTCAACAGAACCAACAAGTAATTGCGATAAATCTAATGGTGATTGACAAGTAATCCACCCACTGTGTTTTGGAGGCGTATTTCTCATATAATACATATAATATATAGTGCAAATACTTACCAGATCATTTTTTAGAGATGCGCTAAGGAAGTGCAGTTTGTCTGATAGCTGAACTGCTCTGTCCATCAGGTCCTTCAGGTCAAGGGATTGACCCTGAGCCAAGAAACATAGCAGCACTGCAGCAGAAATAGAGGAATAAAGAATTTAGCATACACATCACAGGATAAAATATTTGAGCTATATGCTTCCCAGGACTTCATTCTCCTGCTGAAAAATTAGGTGAGAACACAAAAAGTTGGCCTGATTTATATCGTATGTACTATAGTGAGGAGGGTAGGCTTGGTGTCTATGAGCAGTACCACCAGACCAGGTGAAAATGACAGAGAGATACACAAGACATCATACATGACAATCTCACCTGTCCACAAAAGCTTGCTCCCTGGTGACCGCTGAACCATCTTGTTCACTTTACAGCTCCTTGTTTCTGCTGTTCTTTAGATATCCATCACTTTGTTCCCATTTTATAGAGTCCATCTCGCCTATAATGAAGCTACAATGCCTAAAAATAGAAGCAATGCATTTACAAAGAAGCCCACTCTTGAATGTAACTAATGAGAAACATTGACATCTCTCATTATTATGCAAGGGTGTGAACAGACTCATCAAATAGGTTTTCCTGTTAACACCAAAAACACTCCGCATTACTTCTGTATTTTCAATATGTTATATTTTTGCATGGAAGAGAGTTGAAATAAAATGTAATTGTCTGGTGTCATTATAATTTAATAATATTCATGCTGTCATGATCAGTCTTTTGAGTGTTCAAACACTTTTGTGTTTGGCTGATGCTTCTGTTCACATTTTCCTGAAAATACAGCTGTATATTTTACTGGAGCAATTAAAGTTAAGACCCCAAAACCATATACTGGATGGATGTTCGAAAGATGGATGTATGTATGTATGGATGGATGGAATTAATGTTAAGAACCTTTTGGATTATCATTCTTTTGCTATCACACACCCCAGTGCCTGTATTACAGACAGTGCTGTACTAAGCATTTTAGACAAATTGTTACATATTTGCCTTCATCACATATTATAATATGAAACTTCCTCCTTATACTGCAAAGTTCTTTTTACCCTTTAATAGGATGATTAAGGGAGTGCAGTAAAGTGCCAGGAAAGAAAATAATCCAAGAATGCAGAATATCTTCAGCTTCTGTGCAAAGCAAGTTGGCAAACCCCTTGAAGCAGAATGCACTGGGCCATGAGAAGTCATAGATTCATAGCTTTTACATTAGAACCTACAAGAACTTATATAATATTTAATCAATGAGTATGGAATAGAAATTTCTTATATAAAACTATTATGGGAAATTTGTTTTTAAGATTCTCCTTAAGTAAGACTTTTTAGATATTTAGTCATTTTGATTTGAATTGTGTGTCCATCCACATACTTGTTAACATGACATGCAGCCAAATTCCCAGAAAAGTACAGGAAATTGATGGCACCTCGCAAGACATTTGACTGCAAGTACAGGGATCGCATCACATCCCCTTAATGGGACTGAATGTTATTGCCCATTAACATGAATTTGCAAGCCCATGCCCTCCCAGCACCAGCCCTTGCAGTAACTGATGTGGCAAATGTGTCCCCTAACAAGCTGAACAGCTCAAACCAGGAAGACACTATCTACTTGTGACACAAATCCTTTTTTCATAGTTTTCACTGTGCATATGAAATAGAATGAGCACTAGGAAATTAAATGATTCCTGTGCCTTTGATTAAATTTATGAAAACATGTTATTTCAAATGTCATTTGTAGGGAGTATCCTTTAGACACCGTTGGGCCAAATTACAATTAAGCAATAACATACAAGTAGGAATGCGGTTGTACTCCAACATAACACGGCTGTGATTTGGTTGTAGGCAGAAGGCCATAGGATGAGTGCTGAAGATAATTACAGCTAGAGTTGCCACCTGTCCCTTATAAAACAGGATTGTCCTGTATTGGATGAACTGCTGCATCCCATATTATACGGGGCGAGCCTGCATTATAAGGAACAGGTGGCAGCCCTAATCACGGCCGTGATGTATTGGAGGACAACCACACTCCTTCTCGTATGTTATTGCTTTTATACAACAGTTCATCAAGTAGCATTTATAAGCGAACAGTAATAAGTCACAACAGATAATACTTTGCTAGATTATTTATTTAAACATTTATGGACTTTGAAAAAAAATAGTTCCTGCCGAACTGTTGACTCTTGCCAAGCAACATAAACATTCCAAAGCAACACAGCTCATTCATTCCCAACTACTTTGCATCATCTAAATTTAAATATAATGGTTTTTAGATACAACAGTAAAGGGTAGTGATACATCTGATGTGATATACCTGAGTGCCCTTATACTCTAATAATTGCACTCATTGTCCAATCAGATTTCTTGGTTTTTAAGATTTCTAATTGTTCAGTGAAAGTGGTTATGGATTCTATCAACACTGGTTGTAGCAGTAATGTTAATAGCTAAAGTCAAAACTGATTGGTTAGATAAGGTAAGGTGTTGTTCTGTGATGTTTAAAAATAAAATTGTGGATAAACACAGTGGGTAAACCTAGAACAATGGTGACACAGAAGTAAATTAAAAGGGAAATACTGAAAAACAACTACCGATCCATTGCTCAAAAACCTTCTTATACATTTAGGGTCACAGTGATTCAAATCCTGATAGTGAATGTACTGTATGCCTGTCCATGACATTGTGACAGAACATAAGATAGACTTTATAAATAACGTCCATCCATTTCCTGTAACAAACAAACAACAACAAACAAAGTTATTTTTGTATAGCGCATTATCACAACATTACATTGTCCCAAAGCGCTTTACAGCATCCCCACCCAAAGCCCCCAGTGAGTAAGCCATAGGCGACAGTGGCAAGGAAAAACTCCCTAGAAGGAAGAAACCTTGGGATAACCGCCTGTCCTATTCAAGGTCGCAACGATTCCGCAGCCTACCATGAATATCGTGTTAGATACTTTTCACAACATTAAATTAAATTACGATTTAGTCCTTTGAGACTTGCTGGCTTTATAATAAAATAAGTAACACACATCACTGAATCAAGAAAACGCACTTGTTCGGTTATCCATTGTTAGTTTTTGTCCATACAGTACTGTAAGTACACGGGCTGAGTCACACTATATGCTTATTGGTATGCATGTAAATGTTCTAGTTCTGTCCAGTACAAATAAGACATAGAAAGAATGTCGGTATTACCCTGACATTTTGGTTTACTTGACAAAACTAATTAAGCGGTCTGAATCATATTTGTTTAGTTCGCCTTTACTTTTCATGAGTGTTTGGCGCATGCGCTCTGGGGAAAAGCAAGTCGAGCAGGTAACCTGTAGTTTCTTTGTCTAATCAATAGAATAGGAATGGAAATTTGTTTTACAGTGTATTTGCGCCCCTGCTTATCGTCTCTATTAGGCATAAGTCCTAATTATTCTTACGTGTTTGCTGCATACTGAAGACTGCATACATAAACACATTCGTGTTGTACCAAACCGTTAATGCTGCGTAGAAGTTGTTTGTTACTCTTATTTATCTTATATCCTTTATAAAATTGCAGATACAAAACAAAAGCTGACATTACAGTAATTAATTTTAACAACAACGGGTGACAGAATATGCATACTGACACAACATATCCTCAAAGTTTGCTTTTTTAACTGAAGAAGGCAGTTTTCAGGTTTGCAACATTCATTGTAGGCGTACAGAATAAACTGAAATATGCTGTTGCTGAAATGACTGAAGGAGCTGTTATCCCATTAATCGATATAAATAAGTAAATTAATGCTGGCATTAAAGAAAGCTGTTGCAGTTTCCTTAGTTTCCTCGAATTATGCCGAAGCATATTGGATGGACTGCAATTATTGTATATCTTAGATTAGCCACAAGAGGGCGTTTGCTCGATGCCATAAATGTATTGTAATTTATAGAGGTAGCCACTAGATGTCCTTTCCAAAATCAGCTTGGTGGATCCAATGGCAAACTTTATAAATGCGCACAACGAATGAAGAGGATGAAATAGTCTGATAACATCCTTGTTAATTTCCCTTGTGTTAAATTATAGTGGTAAAGAACAGTTGCCTAAGGCTATGCTGTTTGAAATGTATAAATGTTTAAAACCATTTGAAAATGGTTCTTTACATTTTTCATCTTTGAGAAGTCTGTTACATATAATTAAAACTTTTAAAATGTTTTAATCCCCCTCGCCACAAACATGTGGACGTGTTTGCACATGCCTTGACAGACACCCCAGGACAGACAGCTTGCATTCTTTCTCCCCCCATCATTTTGTCTCCCTCCCACTATTCCGCCTCTCCCTCTCACACTCTAACCTCTTCCCCCCTCTTTTGCACACGCGCACACGGGATCACGGAGACGCACATCACGGCAAAAATATGTCAGATTCGGAGACCTCAGTGACTGTCCGCATGGAGGCTCTTGTCCCTGCTGTCTGCCAGGTCATCAAGGAGGATCTGGATAAATGGTAAGTAGGACGTTCATCGTTAAGGCAGTCATGGGGTGCAAACCTGATGGTCCCATGCCAGTGTGGTCAACCTACCCATGTTGGCTAGTCATTCTAGTCTCCGGTGCACCCGACTGCAGATGTGGCTATTGTATGAAGAGGGGCATTAATGAATGATAGAACCAGGTTGCTGTTATGTAATATCCTCCTGAGACCCAAGGAAAAAAGTGTCCTTCAATTGTAGGTTATTTGTCTTTGGAGGAAATAAGACATCTTACAATTTAAATTTTTTCTAATTTATTCTTATTTTAATTTCACAGCATGTCCTCTTTAGTGCACAACAAGAATAAATACGTTTCCCAACATCAGTGAAAAAATAAATGCAAAAATACAATGTCCACTACAACGGACATAAATGAATAGGTCGGGTCTCAGGAGGTTACAGCATGGATAAGCAAAATTCAATAGCAGAATATGTGAACTACGGCTGTGAGGCCATCTTCAATATTATGTTGGTATTTTAAAGTACAGATAAACAAATGGGTGCTGTCTTAATACAAAACGAGGTAGTGCTTTAGTGGTTTATGCAGGTAATGAGATTGACTGCCGTGATGGTATGGTTTCCAGGCTTGTAATCAAACACAATGCACTGACTTACGCCTGATTTGATCAGCGGAATTTGTGTGTCCTAGATATGGTGTGTGACCCTTCTTGTTACATTGCTTCTCCAATGAACAACCCCTGTTTTGTTTTCATGTACTGTGATGCGCAATCATGGAGGATGGTTATTTCTCTGTCTGTCCATGGATAATCTGTGGGGGATGAACAGACAATGTACAGGACAGTCGAGTTGTTCTCCCGATCAGTATGGGTTTGTTGTAACAGAGCTACAGAACCAATTGTCAAAGACAATGCGCTGTCGAATACGAACAATGTATATTTTGCACAACCACGCTCATCTATGAGGATGTTAATTATATCACACATTGAAATAAGCACAAGAAAATTAGTTTTTTTTTTGCCCATAATTGATTACCAGATGCTTACAGATTAATGTTGAATAACTTTTGTTACTAAGCTGGAGTTTGGTGAATTTATAGAGCACTCATTTGTTTCGCAGTTTAAATTAATGTGTTTGATCTAGGTTAACAGACTGCGTGACAGACCCCATTCATTTACTGTAAAAAGGTCTTTATATATTAATCAATTTCATATTAATGTAGGGGATTTAAACCAACAGAAGGGGGTTAAATGATGCACGCCTTTCACGCTTGTAGTTTTTAGTTGTATTAAATAGATATAGATAATTACACTTTCAGCAGGCTCTGACCTGCTCTCTATTTTTGTCAGGTTACTCTGCGCCCATGTTGGCTTCAGCCATTACTCACATGACTGTTAAGGGATGTTGTCATAAGGGTCAGTAAGGAAATCCTGATTATTTGCCACAGATATCACATAAACACATACACTGTTTTAAAATTTGGAATATTCAGGTCAGGTGGCACGGTGGTTATTGAGCTATTTGTGTCACTATTCATGTCGCTTTGGACAAAAGCACCAGCTAAGTAAAAATAAATGTAAATGGTTCAGTGCTTTGCACTGTTGCTTCACACCTATAGAGATGGTGGGATCAAGTCCCACCTCCGCTGTGTGTGTGCAGTTTGTATGTCCTCCCTGTAAAATGCTCCCCTTTGGCTTTCCTGTGGTACTCTGGTTTCCTTCTGCAGTCCAGAGACTGCAGGTATCCCATGTAAAGTATTCACACTTCAAAAATGCTAAAAAGTCTTCTTGTAGTAAGCAAATTCTAGTTCTGAAAGACAGTTAGGCCTGTCATGTATGATTGTGTGTGTATATCTGCCCTGTTCTGGACTGGCTTCTTATTCTGTGTGATCAGGTTATAATATGTATGGACAGGTATACAGGCATTTATGCTGTAACTCGATATCAGATAGTAGACCATATGGAGAAAAATAGGGTTAGAAGGAGATCACTCGAAACCCAACCCAACCATTACGTTCCAAATACTTTATCAGATCAAACTTTTTGAGTGTTAATGCTTTTTTTTACTTTCACCATCCAAAATTTCATAAATATGCCTCTTAGACTATTTCTTGTAAGACTGTTCACTCATATTTTAGGTAATGGAACTGATGATGTGAAAATTAATAGAGTTGTATATTTCACCCTCTCAGAGGATACTGTATACCGTCAGATACATGGTCAATGATATAATACAAAAAAGATGCAATGAAATGTAACAATCTGACATTTTCATTTGGCTGTGTCTGGATATGATTTAGCTCTATGTAGCATATTGAAAAATGCCCTTTCTAAGTAAAAGCATATTATTTATTACTACAAGGGCAGGTAGCTGAAGTTGACTGTAAGACCTTAACATGAAAAAATAGCAGTAATTTGTATTAGTAATGTTATGACTAGTGAATCAGTTTAGAATGGCTTTTTGGTTTTTGCCTGATTTTCTTCTAACTTTGAGTCTGATTGGGGGTTTTGAATCAATGCAGCCATTTTGTACACACTTGGACCAAACTTACAATCCAAATCAGTTTTTGTTCCATGCCTAAAATTTGGTACTTTCAAAACAAAGCACATGGCCTAGCTGGGATAAACGGGTAACAAGTGTCCTGTATGCTCATGCATGTTTCTCCACTATGCTAAATGAAAAAAGGCAGGGAAATAATTGTGTATAAGCCAAAGAGGGATTCATGTTATACAGATGTGTTTTTCTTATTTACTAATAGCCTATGACTCAATTTCCATTTTAAAAACTACCTGTATTTGCNCTTTCAAAACAAAGCACATGGCCTAGCTGGGATAAACGGGTAACAAGTGTCCTGTATGCTCAGGCATGTTTCTCCACTATGCTAAATGAAAAAAGCCAAAGAGGGATTCATGTTATACAGATGTGTTTTTCTTATTTACTAATAGCCTATGACTCAATTTCCATTTTAAAAACTACCTGTATTTGCATCTCTTAAGACTTAAGCTCTCTTCTGCTGATCCAACTTTCAACTGCTGATCTGATACAGTCAGTCCATCACTGGGCACAAGGCTGGGGTGCACCCTGGACGGGATGCCAGTCCATTATATTGCACAAGGCTGCATCATCATCTCTATGGACAGTGGGAGAACCTGCATATACACATGGCGAACATGCAAATCCTCAACCACTGAGAGAACAGTACTATCCACTGTATCATTGTGCCACTCTTATGGTATGATCTAATATTTATCATACTTTGAAATGCCAATATTCTAATTTTCAAGAAATTTATTAATTAGCGCAGTGCCAGTCAACATAGGAGACAGAGGGTGGCATCTTCTGAGTGAGTGCCGACTTAATTTTAATCAAAGCAGCTGAATTTTGTACTGACTTAGCTGCAGTCATCTCTGCTTTGTGCCCTTGCTTTCATCACATTTGCTCCCTTCAACATGAGTTAGTGCTTAAACGCCAGTTGACTGCTAAGTCCTGTCTGCCCGGCTGCTTGTTTGTGCCAGTGCTGCATGAAAAGCTCATCATGTAGATGTTCAGCAGGGCAAAGGCCATTCCTGATTGA